AAGCGGTGTAAGACGTGATGGATGGTCCCCAACTAAGTAAGACACGCAGAGTTCAGTTACTTGCTTCCCCCATCCAGGGCTTACAAGAATGTACGAGCAGATTGAAGTGAGAAGTTCACATACCACGGGTATCTTTTATGGAACATATACAGACGCCCTTGGAATCGCCAGAGGACCAGACAGGATCAGCTCGTTGCAGTTGGGTTTACCAATGGTAGAGCGCCTGCTGCACGAAGCAAACGCCGCAATGCAGTCCGAACACTGGTGAAGCTGGATGGGCAGTAGGTAGAGATAAATCAGATGCAGGACAAGCAGGCATTTGATGGTGGGCCGCACAGAGGCTACATATGTACCATGTATGTTTGGTCGTGGGCATGTACCGGCAAGGGTCTGGGTTGCTTAGACCAGATAGAATGGTGGAGGGGGGCAAGCAAAGATGGGGGGCCGAGGGTCAGTAAGAAGGGTATGACAGGGACACAGGACAAGGGCCGTCCGTGAGGAGAGGGAAACGGATGAATTAGACCAGGCAGGTTATGGGATCTTTAAAAGAGGGCTGGCCAGGGGAGAGGAGTGATGCTAGCTTGTCTGAAGAGAGTTGTACCCATATCTAACAATATGACCAGGGGAGCAAAAAGCAACACCAGGATCATGCCTGGCGGAGTCGTTAGATGCGCATGAAAGCTCTTTAAAAGAGCTGACCGAGCGGAGAGGAGCCAGTGTCTGTGTCTTATCGTCTGTTGGGTGACAAAGGAGCGAGCGAGCGACCGCGCGGTACGGTAAGGTACAGGCAGTACAGGAGTACGCCGCGGTAGTGTGATTTCCGGAGAAGGAGCGTCAAGCGCAAGGAGCGGGATAATTAAGAAGAAAACGAGGAAAAGAAACCATGAGTTAGTTGACCGCCATACGATACGATACAATTGATTGATTGATAGATAGATAGGAATCAAGCATGGCCTCTTTGGTGCTTCTTCTCACCCTTATCAATCCAACCAAAGCCCGCTTCCTCAATCATTTTCTTCAATAATTAGCAATAGTCACCACCGCACCGATTCGGGGTGAGAGAGCATGACGAGGTGTACGAATCACAGCCGGCAAACGAGGTATTTCAGCGAGGCTTTTGGCTGGCTTCCGTACTAGGCCAGTGGACCGTCCTGGTCACCAGGGGTTAGTGGCATAGAGGTGTGGTCATTAGTACTGGCTTCCAAGGCCTGTCAAAAGAAGCTCACGGTCTCTAATAGGGCAAACACCCTGTCCCGCTTGCCGTTCGTGTGGTCATTGTGATAGACAATGTGATCCTAAACGGTGATGGAAAGCGGGACACGGCCGCAATGTTTCGGGGGAAAATCGTCAGCGGTCTTTTGGCGTCGCTAGCCATGAGACAGCAACGCTCAACTATCATATTTTTTTTGAGGAGGGCGCTACACAGTACAGTACAACGGCGTCGACAAAGCCATTGTTCCGAAGACTCCAGCCTCAGCTCGTGGCGCGAGTTGGATCCATTCCAATGTGGCATTTCGCAAGGATATTGGAGGCGGTGGTGGCCGAGTTGATCCGTCCACGGTCCACAGTGGAATTAAGATGGGCGGCGGACCGGCAGGCGACTCGCAAGGGCCCCCAGCACTGTCTAAAACGAAGGGCACAGGGATTCCGTGGACCACCTGAACTGCCTGATGTTTTCCCTAAGGGATGCCAATATCAACCTCTAACCACTGCCGGAGATTCTCTGTTCTCGGGGTGGGGAGCTCGAAGGCATTGATCATGGAGATCAATGCATTGCTGACGAGGGGGATCTTCACCTGGTTTCTCCTCCAAAAATAAACGACCAAACATCAAAGCTGATGAATGCAATATCCAGATGAGTGTCTGAGGGGCCTGTCTGAAATGCCGATACCAGGTAACATCCGAAGAGGAGAGGACGTCCGCTGATGAGGAAGCTCTCCTGACGGGCAGCAGGAGCAGGAGCAGCAGGAATCTCGATGGATACAGTAGCAGCCCACCTCCCGAGCTGTCAGATCCTCAAGGGCTGCCGCGCAGTGCATACTCCCCGTCCCCCAAGCCCGTCCGTCGGCATCCAAAAGTCTCCACTAATTAGCATTCGACGATCTAGCTAATGGGTCGGCCCTCTCCTTGCCCTCACCGTTGGCCGGCTGGTCACGATGCCAGTCTTCCTCCACCATCCTGAAGGGAATGGCGATGGAGGAGGGGGCAGCCGGCAAAGCCTTCGAGCTCAACCAGCCAATCTAAAAAATCCAAAGACCAACATTTTTTGGCATTCTCAGCCAACGAGAACGACGGACGCGAAGTAGTAGATGCCATTGGGCACTTGTCTCGGGGGTTGGAACACGAAGTCGCAAAAGGAGTCATTGGGCAGAATTATAGCTAACGGGGGTCCAAGCGAGCCTAGTCGATGCCGGCCTGCGTTCCAGTTGGCCAGATTCACCAAGATCCCTGACTATCATTGCCTGAGGGCCTGAGAGGCGCTGTGATGATCCCTGGTGGATGGGACCACATCGAGTCTAGCGCACGAAGCCTCCGCGAATGGCAGAAGATCCGCTAACCACCATCTCAAATGAGGCGGCGCTGTGGACTCCGTCCCACGGCCGTGTCGGATTGTCGAGAGCGTGAGAGAGAGTGTGTGTGAGAGGCACAGAAAAATCGGCACACTTCCCTCATCCGTTGGTACAATGAAGTCATGGACGGATGGTAATGGGTGACGGTGGCTGTGCAACAGCTATGTTTTATGCTCCCATCCAGTTGGAGTGCCGGTTCTCGGACGGGCCATTTGATTCTCAACAACGGACGGGTGTAATACGCCCATCTCCAACAGTCCTAGGGGACGTAGGAGCAACTAAATTTCTAGATCGTGAGCAGCTAAAAGAAACAGCCAGTGACATTAACATGGCCGGCCAAGCAATGGATCAACTGAGACTCATCCACCCAGACGAGCAAATCGTTGCTTCTTTAACATTCTCCACATGATGACAAGAGTCGTAAGCCGCTCTATCGTTGTTAATGCGACGAGGTGAAGTCATAATCAAGAGCCATGATGTGCCCCATGTCCTCGACATCCGGCAACGGCCTTGGAAATTGCAATTGCCATCCTGCGCAGCGTGACTTCTGAAGGAAGCATTCACCATGGGTGGTGTCTTGTTTGGCTGGCTGATTCGTAAATGCCCTGGTCGTGGCTGGCCCTGGCATGGAGAGCTATCTGCGGGTGTCTGTGCTCCTGCCTGGGCCGTTTTCACTCGCGCATCGCCTCGAAAAACCCCTGTTTCCAAGATCCGTGATGCTGTCGACAAGCTCGTTCCAGCAGGAGATCTGCCCCTTTCCGCCTCATCTCGGGGTCTCTCAGTGATCACAAGCCCGATCAGGACCTGTACTGCAGCGCTGCAGTACACATCTTGCGATCCTCTCCGCTTTTTTTCGCATGCGGTCGCCATCTTCGGTGCGGCTAATGGGGGAGAACATGGGACGATGGGCCATCCGCCAGGAAGCCCTGCTAGGCCCAACGCAGTGACAGGGGAAGCGAGGGAAGACCGCTCGCTATGCACAAGGAGGGGTTGCTCTCGGAAGCCGTCGCTTGAGGTCGGCGGCAAGACGTCGTCTGTGAAAGGCCACTGCAGCTTGGTGTCAGCAGGGTCTAATTAATAATTCGGCCATTTTCTGGCGGCCGCCGTTGGCTGAAAAACAACCCGAGGGGGGGTCCATTGTGCTAACGGCGCTCCTCTGGCTGTTCATCGTCAGGTCATACAGCGGAGACCCGTCCATCATCATCAGCAGCAGCAGGTGAGTGTCCAGTTTCCTCCAGTAGCTTTGATGGGGGAGGAAAGGCCTCCGCAAGTTGGCCGTCCTCGAGGGAACAAAGGCGACGGTGACGGTGGCAGTGACGGGGGCCCCCCCTTGCAACGAGGCGCCAGGGCAAGCAGCCAGAGATGCACTCGAGGACAGGATGTACTGCGCAGTACTATGTAGTGTGTGGAGTTTTGGAGATGGGGCTGCCGCTAACGCAGCGGAAACCGTGCACTAAGCGCTGAGCATGTTAGTGTTAGTGTTAGCCTAGTGTATTGTACAGTACACTGTAGGCAACTGAGGCAGCCTTGAAATGTGCGGTGCGGCACGTTCAGCACGTTTCTGTGCATCCCACGCTTTCGTCCTGCACGATGTTGGTTTACGGCCGCATATTGGAGGCCAAGGGGGCCATTCGGCTGTCTTTCGGCTATGCAAGCTAACAGACAACTGCAGGTCTCTCTCTCTGCGCGGTTTCCTACCGACAGTAATGCAGGCAGGTACTGCACCACCCGACTGACAACTACGCAGTTACTGACAGACGTGCATGACTTCTCCAGCTGTTGCCTCTGCTTTACCTAGGTATGTACATACAAATTAAAATGTAATGTAATCTAAGGTACGTGTGGCGTCTGTGGGGTACTGGAGGAAATTTCCCAGGAGTGCTTCGCGAGGAATGCCAGGTTTCTTCTCATTGACCACTCATCCAGAACCGCCTCCTTCACGCACTTGCGTCACTGTGATCCCGGCATGCGACGAATTGACCACCAGAAGATCTTTCCTCTCGCCGCTTCTCCTGTGTCGCCTCCGTGCCAGTGAGCGCTGCGCTTAACCTGACGGCCCTCGAGATATTCAATGCAGCGTTGTCAATCGCGCTACCCGGTTCACAGACAAGAGATCGGCGTGTCAGCCTTGCTCCATGGGGCCGTGGCAGCACGCGTAATGCTCGAGGGGGGCGGGCAGTCCCTTCGAGGTGACATCAAACTTGCAAGTTAGCTGGCTGAAACCCCCTGCCGTAAGGATTACGGAATTAGGCAGTCCGGATCACCAAGAATTCCTTGGAAGCAGCCCCAACAAGAGAATCCCTCTTGTCCTGTCCCTGTGACGTGCCATTTTTGGGGTCCTCATCGTTTGATGATCGTGACTGGAGAGGCGCAAGATTAGCATTTTGTGACGATACTCCACCCGGCGAACAATTCGGCCGGCACGGCGAGTTACTCACCAATGTCTTCATCTGCAAGCTCATGGGCAAGTCCCACTCGTTGTGGTTGGTGCTTGACAGACTTTCCATACACAATGGCAGTCTTGAACTGCTCAAGAATGCTCCGGTGAATAGCGTTACACTTGACATGTTTCAGTTGACTCGGCTCGGGAAGATTGGGAAAGGGGAGGCTCTTGTTTCCGGACTTACGAAATCTTCAACCGTGCATTTCGTGGAACGAAGCACGACAGGCGAGGAATAGTCAGGCAACTTGCCCTTTGGCTTCGTATACACTCTTACAAGCTTTAACTTGTCCCACCTACAGTCCATGTCAGTCATTCCCCAACCCAAATGGAAGGAGACGAAGGAGAGTGCGCACATTGCCTCCATCAGCTCGTCGACGTTCCATCCATGCTCAGAGCTGATAGGTACGGAATTAGGGATTCGGTAGAGAAGGTCCAGCTCCTCAATGCTTATGGCGTCAATCTTGTTCAGCACGTAAATGACGGGAATATAGCTCCGACTCTTCGCCTCCAGGATGTCGATGAGATCGTCAATCGTGGCATCGCACCGAATAGCAATATCAGCCGAGGCAATCTTGTACTCGCTCATCACAGCCCTGATTTCATCGTTGTCAATGTGCGTAAGGGGAACTGTGCTTGAAATGTTAAGACCGCCTTTGTCCTTCTTTTTGAAGGTGATGTTCGGAGGCTCCTTGTTGATACGAATGCCGAATCCTTCCAGTTCCGTCTCGATGACCTTCTTGTCGGTCAAAGGCTTGTTAACATCGAGCACAATGAAAATCAGATGGCAAGTTTTCGCAACAGCAATCACTTGACGACCTCGTCCTCGTCCATCCTTTGCACCTTCGATGATACCAGGCAAGTCGATCATCTGAAGAGGAGCACCTACGGAAGAACGTTTAGTCAGCATCCTCTGAGCTCTGACATGTCCAGGAAGAAAATGTCGGCAATATCCTTCCAAGACCTAGCCGCTATCGTCTGGCGAGTATCGCTGTTCCTGCTCGCCGCTGAAGCCTCAAGACACGTACGAGAGACTTACCGTTATACATCACTTGTCCAGGCACTGACGTCAACGTCGTGAACTCATATGCCGCCGCCTCAGAGTGCTGGCCCGTAAGCCTACTCATGAGCGTACTCTTTCCCACCGACGGGAAGCCGATAAACCCAATACTGGCGACACCCGTTCGTGCGACATCGAAGCCTGCTCCTCCGCCGCCGCCACCGCCCGATGACGGCGTCAGGAGCTCACGCTTGAGCTTCGCTAGCTTTGCCTTGAGCTGACCCAAATGGAAGGAAGTGGCCTTGTTCTTCTGGGTCCGAGCCATCTGTTTCGCCATATGCTTAGTCGCTGCCCCTCGAGTTACGTATGCTGCTTTGGTGGGGGAGAACCTACTTCGGACTCGATCTCCTTGATCTGTGACATGGTACATTAGCGAGGTCAAACAGCAGACGATTGTGTACATTTGGTATTCACCTTATCTACCGTAGTCGCCATGATTGCGGTAATGATCGTTACCTATGCCGTGTTGGCTCTTGTTCGTTCGCTGGCTGTCTATGCCCTTCGTTACGGAATAGTTGCAAGTTTTTGTGGTGGGGCAAGAATTTCGGGAGCGGGGATAGATAGGGCCAAAAGTCGCCCCTCACCGTCCCGGCAGTCGCATCAATATTGACCAACCAACATGCTACATCCGCTCCGTGAATCAAGAGCATAAACAGGACTGACGCAGCGCTGTTGTAAGTCTCTTCAGAATGATTGATTATGTACTTTGATTGGTATGTACGTGATAGAACTATGTATAATAATAATAGAAGAATTGCAAGCCTTTGGAGGATCCATCCGTAAACCTGCCTGCCTCCATGGAAAACCCACATGCCACACACACATAACTCCAGGACGAGAGCTCTACTATACTATATATCATTTCAACGAAGGCCAAATAAGCATTGCCGGGTATTTGCCGAGTACTTTCCACATTCGCAAAGCAACATCATCAATCCAAGAGCCAAAGGCCGTCGATCCTCTCTCATCAGTCGTCGTTGAAGCAAGTGATCCCGCCATCTGCGATGGTGTCCGTATAAACCACAGATGGAATGTGTAGTAGTCTCTTGGCTTTTCAAAACCAGGTCGTGACAAAAGAGATGTCTCATAAGAGAAGGTACAGAATTGGTCTGACATGGAGCAGACGTGGACCACCCTGAATATCAGGGAGGCCGACACAAGGCTGTTATACAGAGAAGTACGGATTGGCCCTGGGGTGTGTTCTTTCTTGAAAAGTGAACGACATTGGCCAAGGCAGTTGTCAACATAAAGAGAAAATGTCTAGATAACATTGCCGTTTGACCCATTGATCCCGTTTGTTAGAGGCTTGTCTTGTATAGCGGCATGAAGATTATTGCCGTTTGTCGTAGGATGATGGTCTGGGGAATTGTCTCCATTGAGCTGTAGCGGGTGGCTTGATAAAACGCTAGTTGGCGAGGAATGCGTTCCATTGACAAGGGGCGGCGTCTGGAGACCAGATAGTATCTGGTCTAAGCCCTGCTCTCTACAGAGGCGAGCATACTCGGGATCATCAGGCGAGACTGCCACGAAGCCTCGTCGCGGTACGGGTTTCTCGGGAAATGGGGTTTTGCTGACTCTACTAAGGCCAGGTTTTTCCTCAAGGACCATTTGACCATTGACGTAGTACTTGTTCCTCGGGGCGAATCCATAGAATCGATTAGCATCGGGGTCGATCTTCCATTTCTGCAAAGGCGCCCATTTGGAGAGTTGAGACTCATGCTCTGGCAGTTCACGATAGGCGACCGTGAGGGTTATGCTCCGCAGATGAGGAATGTTCGGGATGATATACATCAGTTCAGAGGCCTGCATCTTGTTAGCTGATATGTAAGAAAATGATAGACTGTCTTACTGACCTTGACGAAGAACATATCCATGCCCGCGAACTTCTCCCAAGCCTCACCACGAAGCTTCTCGATAACCCTGTAGCCCATTCGATCGGGATCTTCGCCGCAATAGTACTCCGGCAATTGTTTGCCCAGCTCGTACAGCGTAGGAGTGGTGAGGGCATATCGATCAGATTCGAGCCTCCAGATGATCCGCTTCGCAATCATAGAAACAGGCACTCGCTCCCATGCTGTATAGCGCGAGAGTTCGAGATCCTTCTCTCCCAGTAGCAAAGCCACTTGGGTATTCAGCAACCACTGTTCGCGACCATCCGGTGTTCCCGTAGCTTCCGGGCGAATGCAGTCGTAACGTACACCCTGCATCATGCTGAACTTCTCTGCGATCTCAGAAGACTTTGGATTGGCAGACTTGTCGAGCCAGCGTAAAAGTGGAGGTAATTTGGAAAGGCGAAGCTTCTCGTGCTCCTCAAAAATTCGACGCTGTTCGGCCTCCCTAGCAGCTCGCTCGGCTTCTCTGGCAGCACGTCGACGTTCCATTTCTTCACGCTGAAGACGTTCCTTGCGCTCTTGCTCCTTGCGTTCTTCTTCCTCGCGCTTACGGCGAGCCTCTTCTGCTGCTTCCCGTTCAAGCTGTTCCTTTCGAAGCCTCTCTTCCTCCTCTCTCTTCTTCCGCTCTTCTTCCTCGCGCTGGCGTTTCTCGTCCTCTTCTCGCTGGCGCTTCTCTTCCGCCTCTCTGCGAAGTCGGTCTTCTTCCTCGCGTTTCTTCCTGTCCGCCTCCTCTTGTCTTGTGCGCTCTTCCTCTTCCTTCCGCTTCCGCTCCTCTTCTTCTACAAGGCGTTTCTTTTCCTGCTCCTGGCGCTTGACCTCCTCTTCCTCTCGTTGGCGTTTCTCTTCCTCTTCTTGGCGTTGTCGTTCCTCATCTTCCTTCTTCTTCGCCTCAATAGCCTTAGCTTCGAGCTCAGCTTGCTTCTGTTGCTGGTCTTCCTTCTCTTGAGCAAGGCGAGCCTCGGCCTCCTCATCAGCTTGATCCACGTCACGCATCTCCACATCGGTATCTTCCGACTTGACATGGATGCTCTTTTCTGACGTGATGGACTTGCCCGACTCTCTGCGGCCATGCTCGGCTGTTGAATCTGATTTCTTAGGCTTCGAGGACTCACGGCGCTCATTGTCTTCACGACCCTTAAGGTTCGATTTGCCAGAAGCTCCAGCTGAGGCCGACACGTCACGCGATGAGCCCGACTTACGGGGCCGGCCATCAGGTGAGACACTAGGCTTTTGTCGCTTCTCCTTTCCTTCGACATCTAGTCGCCTCCTCTTAAGAGGCGCCTCGCCTTCCTTTTCTGACAAACCATTGGGAGGGGTAGCACTCGCTCGGTGACGCTTACCAGAGCTCTCGCCAGAGACAGACAGCCTGTCGCGTGACTCGTCTCTTTTGAGTGCCTTTGTCCGATCATGATACTTCTCTGACTTAAGTCGTTCTTGAGGGTCTTCATGCCGAGAATCACGCGGGCTGGGAGGATCTCTGAGAGAAGAGGCATTAGAAGCCATGCTTGTACGTCGTTGTTTCTCTCTTTCTCCCTTGAGTTGCCGGCCAGAAACAAGTTTTCTTCTTGGCTTGACTGTTTCGCCTTCGGAAGAAAATGCGGCGGTGTCCGACTCAGTTCGCTTTGGCTTCGCGAATAATTTGGACGCCGCAGGTGACTCTTCACGATCCGAAACTGCAATTGTAGGGACGCGATCCTCTTTTCTAGGTCTGCCAGGCCCACGTTTTGGTGAAGTCTGGTCCTCTTGGTGGGTCGAAAACGAAGTTGAACGCCTTTTCTCCTTGGGACTGCTGGCCACTTTGCTGGAGGCTGCACGTTTACTCTCTCTCGTTGGACTTGAGCCTTTCCGCTTATGGGACCTTGAAGAGTCATCCTTTGGTTCACTTCGGCCTGCCCGTTTCGCATCTCGTTCCTCTCGTCTATTTGGAGATTTGGTTTTCGAGTCGTCTTTGTGCAGCTTCCTGTACTGATCATAGGCGTCCTTCAACATCTGTTCCTCTTCCTTCCAATAGGTGCCCTGCCGTTTCCGCGCAATCTCATGGTAGGTCTGACCTTTAAACTTCCTAGTAGGGTCAAAGCTACCTTGATCTAAGAGCAGGCGTATAACCTTGATGTTCTCCTGACCGATCGCCGCTAACATGGGTGTGGCGTATTCGGGAGGGAGTGATGTTACGGGGCCTGGGTCAGGATTGGCACTACCCAATGCAAGAAGAAGCTGCATCACAATATCGTGCCCGCCTCTCGCTGCGGCTACCATAGACTCTGGATCGTCAAAGGTGTCCCTGACTTGAAGAATGCGCGTAACAGTTTCTTCATCGCCACGGCCGGCAGCTTGACGCAACGTCTTGTCATCCATGGGCATGTAGAGCAGATGGTTGCTAGTTTTGGTAGCCCGCACGGTGCCTGCTCTCCGTCCACTTGCTGCGGCATGGGATGATGATGCCGCAGCGGGGGATCGCCTTGGACTTTCTGGGCCATGAGAGGAGCGAGTATCGTAATTATCGTGATGTTCCTCTGATGTCCGGCGACGCTCACCCTGTTTTTGCTTGGCTTCTACTAGAGCATTTCTGATCTCGGCCGCATTGTCCATCTCATCGTCCACCCTGTCGAGCGGTTCTTCACCATTCACGTTCGCCTTGCGTGGATTGACACCAGCGTCGAGGAGGATCTTGATCACCCCAAGATGTCCATTGTCCACAGCATCGAGAAGTGGGGTATCCTTGTCGTAATTGACACATTCCAGATTACAACCCGCGTCAATGAGAAGCTTGACAATGTTCTCATATCCGTTCAGGGCTGCGATTTGAAGAGGTGTATTTCCAGCAAAGTCAGCAACATTCAAATCCTCAGGACGTTCACCCAAACGCGTCTTGGCGAGGTCATATTCGCCTCTCGCACACGCTCGCGCGAGGAATGTCTGACCGTGTGCGTCAAGATGTTTCTTATGGGGTGCCAATTTAGCAGGTGAGGTGGAGTCTGCAGTGGCCGGTGTGGTTAAACTGCGCAATTTCGAACTGCGTATATGGGGGGAACCACTGGCTGAGGACTCATCAGAGTGGTAATCAGTCGTGAGTGGCGCAGGAACGCGCTTCTTCTTGTGGCTCAGGCCATTTGAAGACTGTGAGGGTAATTGGGTAGACACGCTACGACGGTGTGTTCGAGGATGCGGGGAAATAGACCTCGTACGTGAGCCCGAATGAAGGTCATTGTGCGTCCGCGATGAAGTGGTTCTGTGCTCTCTATCTCGCGAAGGCTTGGTTGCTTGAGAAGTACTGTCAATCCCAGCACCTGATGTGCGCTGACGCCGGGCCTTGCGATTCTCAATCTCGTCGTCAGAATCGGCCCTGCTCGCTTTTCTTTTGTGGGCCAGTACTCTGTCAGCTAGTTTAGACTTGTCTTTCGAAGTTGCTTTGGGTGATTTTGCATGAGACGGTTCTGAGTCGGATTCTAGATTGGCATCACCAGATCGACGCCCCGGTCGGTGTGGGGGAGACGCAGGTGCCGAACTCAACCCGCTGGAGCCGTCTTTACTTCGAGTTTTGTCCTGTTTCTCCTGCTTTTCATGGAGTCTCTTCTTCTTACCCGGAAGGATGCTTTGTCCCTCAGCAGCTGCACTACCAGCGCGGTTGGCCTTTTCGGGCTTGTCCCCGTCTTTGGATCCGCTCGACTGTTTCCGCTTCGTGGGGGCATGTTGTCTTTCATCGTCGCTATTGAACTCGTGCTTGATAATCTTGCGCGTCTTCACTGGGGAGCCATCCTTGCCCGCGAGCACGATTGTTTCTGCCTCGGAGTTGGCATCAGCGCCATCGTCCTCTTGAGCAGTGGACGACGCCGTCGCGCTGGCTTTGGGCTCCTTGACGGGAGGCGACAGCCTGTTTCCGTCAGAAGAAACGTTCACGGAGGATGAATTAGGTTGATCAGGCTCGGCTGCGCCTGTCTCCTTGGGAGAAGCAGGTGGCTTCGTTGAGGCGGACTCGGCAGCATTCTGCGCATCCATATCATTTAATTTGTAGAGAATCTGCTGCTTTGCACCATCATGGGCGCTTCTGAGCCGCTGGAATGGGGGGTGATCGAATGGCTGATCGGATCGCGTCGAGGTGGTGATGCGAAGACAGCCAGAAGGGCGCTGCGGTGAACGAGGAAGAGCCCAGCAGCAGACTCAGAGTCAGCCCACCAAAGCCCCGTGTCAGGAAACGTTACCGCAGCTGCACCGGCGCGCGCTAAAGAAGCCACAGGACAGCAGGCAATGAAGGGCAGTCGTGGGCCAGATCAAGGGTCGAGTGTCACCGATGGGGGCGCAGGCCTATGTTTTGTGAGGGGAAGAAGAAATGGGAGGCGGTGGGATTGGGATTTTCGATGGGTTGGGATGGTGGATGGGAATGGATGGATGGCACTGGCGAGTCGAAGTGTGTGTTGTTTGGATTTCAAGGTCGGTCCCGGCAGATGCGTTAGGTAAAGGGTGGTAATGGGATGGCAATGCTAACTGACTAACTCTTAATTGTTAGTGCCTACATACCTACGAAACCATGCCTACCTGCCGACCTGTTTTTCAATCCCCGGCTCGTTCTCCCTGGGACACACATAGATCATTACCTACATAACGCTAACATTTAACGGCACCCACCACGCCATACCACACAAGGAGACGGATAGACACTGCGCTGGGACAAGCAGAAAGACAGACTGAATGAGGCAGGGCTGGTCGTGGAGAGCGGTCCCCCATTGAATTCCCAGATCAAAAAGTCTGATTGCTCGACGCTCACGTGTTATGATTGGTGGCTGGGTGCATCCAGGACGTGGCCGACTACGGCGGGCGACAGTAGCACCACGCGACGTTACGTTTCCGGCGCCCGCCCCCAAACTCGAAAATCAAGGATCTTATTTCGGTATGTGCCTGTGTATGAAATTCAATCTCTTGCGATCCAAGGTGAAAACCTACCAGGTTAGGGTTTGTTATGAGCCTTTTCTTGTTGCCACTCAAGGGGCGCAGGCCCTCAGCGACCTCAGTTCTTCACGGCGAGGGCCTTACCTTACTATGCACCAGAGGGGCGAATGTGCAATTCCCCGTCGCATGGACTCTAGACATACTGATTGCATTGCGCGCTATGTTGCCTCTCAACGCTCCACTAATTATGGCCTAGATAGACGGATGGGTGGCCGAGGACAGCCTCCTCACCTTAACGTACTGCATCTCATGCATCTCATGCAGCAGGTGCGGCAACGATCTTGTGGACGAGCGCCATTGGCTTGAATGGCCGTGGGTATCCCTCTCGCCCGTTCTTGTTGAATTTGGGAGGTAGAGATTAAGTCCGTATGGTCTACACCAGGGCCAGATGAGCCCGGTTGATAGAAAGAAGGAATTTTTGCCTCGCGGCATGCAAAACAACACGAACGGCGTCTCAAAATAAGCGGGACTTCCAGGCTGCCTAGCTGTACTCCCGACCATCATCACCTTGACCCTGTCTACTGTGCTGTAAGGCTCTAAGGCTACGTACGCAGTATGCAGTAGGTGCGCTTTGTTGCCTCTCATGCCGTTCAAGTCGACGGACAACTCTCAACCAACCACCTCCGGCCTTCCCATGTTTGTTGCCTGCGAGCCTGCCTCCCTGCCTGCCTGCCTGCCTGCTTTACTCGCCTGTGCCTAGCGCAACCTCCTTCTCCGCTAACAGCAACGCTCCCACATTAGTTACGGAATTATCTCACCGTCTTCAACCCAGGCCAACATTTCTTGCAAGATTTGGAGTGCCGAATGTAGATTTTCAAACCATTTCCATCCGCCCGGTTCTCATGAATATACCCTCCTTCGCCGAGATGGCACTGCCTTCATCGCTAGAGCAAGTGCGCATCACTTCCCTGCCGCCCGACGCATATTACATATCCGACTTCATCAGCGAAGAGGAAGAGCGAATGATACAGGAGAAGATAATCACAGCACCGAAGCCGCGATGGACACAGCTCACACACCGACGACTCCAGACTTGGCCATCAGCTCTGGTCCAGAATACGCTGCTAGAGTCACCACTCCCACAATGGCTCGATGAGCCAGTGGTGTCCCGCCTGCTTTCAGTGCCGCTCTCTACGGACAAGCCCACCATCAATATGTTCTCATCAAGTCCCCACGCGCGGCCGAACCATGTCCTTATCAATGAATACCCTCCTGGAATTGGAATTATGCCCCATAAGGATGGAAGTGCCTACCACCCGGTCGTCTGCACCGTGAGTCTTGGGGCCAGCCTATGCCTCAACATCTACAAAAGCAACGAGGACGGTGCCTTGGACCCAAAGCCAGCGTACAGGATTCTCCAGGAACCTCGAAGCCTTCTAATCACGACCCAGGAGCTCTACAATGATTACCTACACGGAATCGCCGATATCGACGAAGACCTGGATCTCTCCGAGAAGACTGTTGCAAATTGGGCTCTTTTACGATCCCCCGAGGACTACTCAAATGGTCGGAATGTCCGGCAAACAAGGACGAGTCTGACATACCGTGATGTGTTGAAGGTGTCAAAGCTGGGCAACAAGCTAGGCAAATTCTTGAAGCGCTGAACGTGTCTCCTCAGGCTGATTCAATACACGAAAGGTATCATGGTCCACTTATCCGCAACCTTTCCGACACCGAACTTCTCGATATACCACTTTTTGGTCCCGTATGCCGTCACGCCGAGGTTGACCGCCACAAATATCAGCGCGCACAGCACTGTTCGGTTGTACAGCTGACCCCTCGGAGCGGCCCCAATTACCAAAGACAAATAGAGCAGGCATTCGCACGTGTAATGCGGGCATACGAACCACCGAAACATTCCCTTTTCAGGGAGAGAATACTTCTTCAAGCCTGCGAGATATTTGTGGCATCGGTGCTGCATTGTCCACGCGAAGATGAACAACGGAAGGGCCAAGATCGTCTTTCGAGGTGGTACCTGGAGCTTCTCTTGGATCAAGTGACTTTCCAAGAGGGATTCTGTCGAGCATGTCAGCGATCTAGCTAAAAACCGCCTGGTGACCACTTACCGGATCCTTCTATCCACACAGCGAGACTCATGCCAAGGTAGAAAGATAGCCCTAGCACCCAGTGGACAAACCACATCTTGGATTTGGAAGGCCTAATGGTTACTATGCACTCATAGAGACGCCTAGCTGCTTGGCAGGCCATCAAGAGCCATATTGTCAGTGCTTGACTGAAGCTCATGGATGGTTTCTGTGCAGCTTGCTGCTGTGTTGTCAGGTATTGGAAGATAAATCCATCTTGGAAATATTGAAATGCCCAGAAAAGGGAGCAAGCCAGGTAAGACAGATAAAACGAGATGAACCAGGAATGGGGCACCTGGCCAAAAGAAGTGATATTCGAGACGGTTCTCAGGAGAGCACTCGACTCTCGGTGGGCTCTCTCATCTCTGTCGGTAGCATCGGCGGCAACGGTGGTGGTGATGTCGGCTGTTGTTGAAGCTCGTGCTCCGTAATTCAGCAGCAGCTGACGCTCTCCGGGTGGAACTGCAGCAACGGCCAGCACACCACCGGTGGCTAAGATGAAGCAAAGCTGACATAGTTGTGCCGGCTCTACTGGTGGCAGCTGTTCCACTAGATTTCCAACGCACGACGGCCCGAACATCCTGTGCTAAGCCGCCGGAGCTTGTGATTTCGGTTGTCGGTTCGCAGAAAGCCTCAATCCACAAGTCTTCGTTCAATCTAGCATTACGGGGCGCCGCTCAGGCCAATTTCCCCGGGCTTTCATTTTTGCTGTCCGGTAAGAGCTTCCTTGGGTGCTCCGCCCCGCCAAGTGGTGTAAATACTGCGCATGCCAAAGCCGAAGCCACTGTAGCCGCTCCGTGTGGGCAAACTCTCAGCTACCTTTTGATATAGTGACGAAATAATCAATCATCACGAAATCACCTTGATCATTATTATGGCTTCCCCGCTTGAGTGTGAGCGCTGTCCCACATAAACGGGGGTTCCGTCCGTCTTCCCTTCTCACCGGAGTAGTCTATCGTAGAGAGCCCCATCGCTGTCATATGCTTCACAGACCCTTTTTCCCGTCGGCACCTCCATCTGCGCTAGACAACCCTATGCTTCCAGCACTAGATGGAGGTAGTCCCCGAGAGTGAGACGCCCCACCACCACTCCGTCTGGGCCGGCACACTCTACTTGTTGACCTGTGAGAATGCGGCTTCTTGTATCAGCCTGGAGATTCTGTCACTGTTTGCTCGAAGGACTGCCAGTTAGCCATAATTCTCGCGATGACTCAGACGAGCGAGCACGGCACTCGGACAGGGTTGCAGGTGCATGGAAGAAAGGTCTAGACCATGCAGTCCATGAGTTGAGGAACATGCCTGGAGGGTTCTCCCGTTGCAGCACGCATCAATCTGTGCCGGGTTATGCCGGCCTATTCGCCAATCTGGCGCCCGCATTGTGTTTCTGCATCACGACAGAGGGCAGAGCTGGATATCCTCTGGGAACTCACGGTTCTGGGAGAACAAAGTCTCACCACGTCTCGTCTAGCATTAGTTGCCTTCCCGTATTGTCCATATAAATCCCAAGACAAGAGTGATCCAAAGCACATGCACGTGTCCGTGGAGACCCGACACAGCGGCGTCCGCCCGTAGGATATTTTATTCGAGCTAAATCCAAGGGTCCTCGGTGCTACCACTGCTGCCCATGGAGCCGCCAGGCGCAATTGATTCGCATTCAAAGCTACCCGTGGACCTAGAAGTCGCAGCTAATCATACGGTCCAACGAGGTAAGGACATAGGTGCGGCTACAGGCAGACCCAGGCCAGCCCCCGCCAGCCCACCTCCTCGTCTCCTATGAAGGGTGAAGCATTGCTTGTGGGGGGACCAGTACTTAAGTAAGAACACCCCGCGCTGTCAAGAGCTTGCAAAATAGCAGTACGGACGTACCAAGGTTTCCAAGCTAACGACTTCCCCAACTGAGACATATACCAAAGTCACTCCTAGGCCGTGACAACTCAGGAGTGTCGTCGGACTCAAGTCAAGGAGTATATAGTAGAACCCCAGGCCTTTCAGCTATCCCTTTTCAGATTAGACGCCCTCGACGCGATCATGGCGGTAAGTCATTCCTAAGCGACTTCGCAAGCGCATGGGCGTGCAGAAAGACCAACACAGTGATACCCCGCCACAGGCCCCTTACCCTCAGCTTGTTCTGTTCGGCGATTCGCTCTTCCAGGGCTGCAGTGACATTCAGGACGGCTTCTCCTTCCAGGGAGCTCTCCAGAATCGTGAGTGTCAAGAAGCGGTTTACGCTGCGTGCGGGCACGTGCTAACGAGTCCCTTCTCAGACTGCATGCGCCGTATCGACGTGGTGAATCGTGGCTTTTCCGGATATAACACATCTCAGTCACTAAAGATAATCGAGAACGTCTTCCCGGCGCCCACGCCCAGTGGACCGAAGCTCGAAATTCTTGTAAGTCACGTTCCGCGCCTTGCATTCTAGGCGCGTCGCGCCGTCCTGTATGAGGGCCGTGCGGAGAGACTCACTCACCACGCACACAGGTTGTGCTGCTCGGTGCAAACGATGCTGCCCTGGTGATGCCGGAGTTGAGCCAGCACGTACCGCTGGATGAGTACAAGGCGAACCTGAAGACGATTATCACGCACCCCAACATCACAGCCCACAAGCCCAAGATCCTCCTGGTCACGCCTCCGCCCCTGGACGAGATCAAGATCACGCAGGCCGACCTGGAGTGGGGATGGCCGCATGCCACACGGCAGCATGCGATCAGTGCATCATACTCGGAGGCGGCTCGGCAGGTCGCGAAGGAGGTGGAGGGCACCATCCTGATCGACCTGTACAGCCTGATCATGGAGTACGCCATCTCCAAGACGCCCGGCTGGGACGCCAGCCTGCCGAAGCTAGGGACCCCGGAGTGCGGGCAGCGCGGCTACCTGGAGAAGCTCCTGCCGGACGGCCTTCACCTGAGCGGCGAGGCGTACCAGGTCCTGTTCAAGGCCATAGTGCCGCACGTCAGGCCCGAGTTCCCGAACCTGGACACCGAAGGCTACGTCTACCCAGACTGGAGAAACGCCGAGTGGTTTGAGAACAATGCAAAGAAATGAACGTAGACTGCGAGGCTGAGAGGTCTCGCGGAAAGTAGACGGGAAGGTAGATAGATAGACTACTTCAGGGCGTACCCAGAGAGCGTTACGAGACGTGGTTGGGGCCTTGCCAGAGGATGCTGTTTTGTCTCCGATAGATCTAAATTCATGCTATAGCGTAAGAATAAGAAGAACACGAAAAGGTCAAGCTTTAATTCAAGCTTAAATGTGCTTTTCTGCAAGGTATCCTCTGCTCAGACAATATTCAAAGCTGAAATTGGAGCAGAAGCATATAACAACGGCAAGTCGGCACAGCACCGAAACTGACTTACATCAGGGTGGATCGGGATGCATAAGAGGAACCCTGCCTAGGTGGAATAAGACATTATACTTACCGTGACCAGAATAACAGATCGACAGATAAACGGGGACGATCAAGATGGCTGCATAATGTCTGCCTGGTTTATGCTCTGCCAAATCCGCAGATATGCTGGGAATAACAATTTAGGCTTTGGCTCTCCCACGCTCCCTGGAGTGGCTTCTCGGATGTCATCCTCATATTTCGTGTCAATAGAAGTCCAGGTACAGCTGGCTGTATTATCAGCAAGTGTCCTTAATAAGGGTCTCCGGCAAGGTGGGTAGGTAGCTTTATGTAGCAGCCACAGTGGGAAGAATGACTTGCCGGGGTCCAATCGATAACAGATGCCACCTGCACCCGACCCTCACTGCAGGTGTGCCTCCCACCAATTCGTTCACCCACCCACCCATCGCCCATCGCCCACGCCTAAGCCCACCCTGCCTGCCCGCCGCCCTCGAAGGTACAGTACACGCTACCTACTATGCAGTAGGGAGGTTCACAAGCCAAATTTGTCTGGCTGCCTGCCTGTTAACGTTAATTACATTCTTGTCGAGAGACGTGACGTCCACCCTTTAAAGACGCCTCAATACCAGACTCGAGTCTAAGCTGCACCCAAGGCACCTTCCTCCCTGCCTCCAACAACGATCCTTCCACCTTCGAGCCCTCGGCATCGCGCTTTCCGCTTAGACACACCTCGTAGAATCGATATCGATACCTGCCATCTGTTCAACCCGCCAAAACCCGCCATTCCAGGCACCCTGCCATCACCATCTGCCTTCCACCCAGCGACGTCTGCACATCATCTCTCACCGACGCGTCACCGCTGTGGCGTATTCCCCAAATTCCCTTTCTTTAGGGTATTGATTGCAGGGGCTCAGAGGAGCTCTCTCATACCTTAGTTGGCCAAAATATATCACGACTTGACTGCCATTACATCTTGGAAGAAGATCCCGTCCAGAGTGTTGTCTCTAGACTGTGGCGGCGAAATAGAACCTCAGTATCGGCACATCACTTCCGGCTGAGAGATCCTCCGATTGCACTACCTGTACGATACTAGTCGAGCTTTTCCAGCGTCTCCGTGTTCAACAATCTAGAGCTGCTACCTCCCCACCGCCTGTCAGCCTCTACAAAGCCACTGCATTGAATAACCATCCGAGATCACACCGAGTGTAGGCGGACACATCGCGAGAAGACCGAGTGGTCTTTGCGTGCGATGTGGGGGGTGGTGGAATCTGTATCTGACTGGAAAGATCGCGGTCAGGCGAGATCATATAACGTGTGCTGGCGAAGCTGAAGAGCGCAAAGTGCGGCTTGTTAGGGGAGTTCATCTGAAGCATCGCCTTCCCTGATCGGGTCGATCTCGCAGCCGACTTTCCATCCTCCGGTTCAAACCTGCTCGGGTGCTCTTTTCAGATAAACTCGACCCATTGTTCTTCTCACTGCAAGACAACTTACCGGTCTGACCGTTCACCGAACTTGCCAAGGCATGGATTCTCGCTTTAACGCCTTTCATCAAGAGCTGCACAATGTCCAGATGGAGGTCAAGCAAGTTCAATTCGTCCAGGCAAACCATGCGGAGAGATTACTTCGACTAGAGAGGCGACAGGCTGACGACGCTGCCATCAAATCTGTCTGGAATTCTCCTTTTCCCAGTGTTTTGGGCGGAACACCACAGCATGGTAAGCACCCATCCTCCCATTCCTGCCCAATCCCATCTAACAAATCGTCCGAAGGCCCTGTCCAATTGCCCCCAAATGAGGATTTCGAGGATTTCGATGAACAGGGCCAGAATCTTCTTGGGTCCTTGCACCTCGAAGCCGATGATGAGCCCATTCGTCGAGGGGCCGCGTCCAGGGCCAACAGCGTTCGATTCGACGAGAGTGCCTTGCAAGGTTCAAATTGGGGCCAGAGCACGCGTCATTCCGGGGAGTTTCCCGTTCGGCCCGGAAGCGGGCTGGGTGGGCATGCAATGATGGAGCGCTCCCTGTCTCACAAATCTGACGGCAGGCACAGCTCTGCCGGTCACTCTGTGCACTCTACACACTCTGTTGCCTCCGGTAGAGCTAGCAGTCTCGGCTTGGAGAACAATTTTCTGCTCGGTGGCGATGAAGACGACTCTCCGCTGGATATGCCCGGACCCCAACCTGGATTCTTGTTTCTTGGCTCCGTCCCATCCATCGTTAGATGTTGGCTCACCCAGCAGTATGCACATGATACTCTTCTCTACGCTGTTGTGTGTAGCGGTTCGCAGAAATCCACTCTAGACTATTCATTGGTCAAGGAACTGGACCTTCTTGATGAAGTTCACAGAGACTTAGATGGCATCTTTCGCATCAGCATCCCCATTTTCTTTGCGGAGGCCACCGTGATGAACTCCCACTCACGCTCATCTAGCCCCTCGCGCCAAGTCCCATACATCACCGGTGACTTCGAGGTGGTGGGCCTGGATCAGTCCGATTACAGTGATGGCAAGAAGAATATTCACATCTTCATTGGTAGCGATATTCTGCGAGCCAACAACGCCGATTTACTCCTTTCGCAGAATCTGATGACATTATACGGCAACGGACAAGATCGCGATAAGCTTTCAATTCCTTTCGTTCGCCCCGAGGATGACTCTCTATTCAAGCATATCACCACCACTAATACAGCCCCCGAGAGACCCAAATTAAATGCGTCAGCTCCTGAATTTGTTTCAGGGGAGCCGAAGAGCCCAGGTGCAATCCTCGAGGAGCGTTCCAAAGCAGCTGCTTCCCGTGCTGAGGCTCAGAACGTTGATCTAGACGATGCGCTTTCGCCAACAACTCTCCAACCGGGTGTTTCAGGTAAACAGTCCACACCAAGTGTTCGATCTGATGCTGGCGGCGAAAGTGACAGAGCTCCCACAGGACGGGCCTCCTCTGAGGCTGGAGGGAGGGAGAATTCGACCGCCACAGACGAGAAGCGTTCGACAACAGGGATTTGGGGCTCATGGCGTCAGGGCACTCCTGGGAATGGCAGCGAAAATGGTGCTCGCGAGATCGGGCTCAGTGGCTACCAACCGGCCGGGCGAGGTCGCAATATGAAGGTGTTGAAACCTCAAAAGTCCAGTAACTCCAATTCTGCGAGAACGGGTGCTTCGAATGAGCCCCCAGGACTACCACGTTCCAGCGGCGAACTCAGGCGTAAAAGCCAAGCAAGCATTGCCAGTTCTGATCAGGCTGGAAGTAGCACTAGTTCTTCGGTCCGATGGGATACCTCAAAGCGCGCGGCTACAAGCAGCGTCGGAACCGGCAGTAGCGGAACAACTTCTGGTGCTGAGAGCAAGGCACAGGTCCAGGCTAAGAGTAATCTGGGTCCAGCTCCTCGAACTGCAAATCCCGTTGGTGGAGCTTCGGCATTCTCCTGGATGAACCCGGGAGGCAAGCCGAAAACACCTGCCCAGGCTGCAGCCGAATAGTGGTTTCCAGATTATCGACTTCAGATGTTATGAGTACGAACAGTGTATTCCCCAGAAAAGAGAAAGAGTCCCATGTTGCACCTAATTCACCGATTGAAGGTCATCGTAGTGCAGGTAGAGTGGCACTTGATAAGAAAACAACAAATAATTATTGAAAAAAAGTTATATTCTAAACTTCAGGTTTTGATTATGTGGATACAAATAGCCGGTGATAAGCTCTTCTTTGCCCTATTGTAAATCTCTTCCACCTCGTGCTTCCTAGGAAATACCCGATATGGTAGACAGGACACCCAATCTTTACTCTGATCTCATATTCTAGACGGAATCAGAGCCCCCAGTGCGGTCTTGGTGTCCTTGCCCGTCTCCTTGACAATGCCCACGATGCTCTTGAACTCCGGGATGCCAGCGTCGCCCATGCACTCGTACAGCCAGCTCTCGCTGGTGGTGACGACGGCGCCCTCGGCCCGCAGCCGCGCGAGCGCGATGGGCACCTCCTCGCGGTTGCAGCTGCTGACGCCGTCGGCGAGCACATAGACCTTGTGGCCGGCGGCCAGGGCATCGAGGGCCGTCTGCGTGACGCAGATGTGGGACTCGATACCGACAATGACAATCTGGCTGGGGCCCGAGGGCGAAGGCGCAGAAAAATGCTGCGACACCGCGGGAATCCACATGCTGAAAGCCGTCTTGTCGGCGTGCGCCTTGGTCAGGGGCTCGGTCAGGTACGGCGCCAGCTCGGCTACCGTCTCGCCCAGGCGCGCGCGGTTCTGTGTCGTCACGAATATGGGGATCTGCAGGGCCTGGGCGGCCTTGAGAACCTTTTGGGTCGTGAGGACGCTGGGAGGTGATGTCGGTCAGGTTGTGGACTTAGTGTTGGGAGGATATGAACAGACACTTTGTCAAACTCATGGATGGCGTTGCGGAACTTCTCCTGTATATCGCAGACGCTGTCATACAGTTAGTTGAAGGCAAGCCTCTGAAATGGGATCGTGGTGACCAACAAAATCGCCGGCCGTTCTATCAAATCCAGTATCAGTCACATTACCCATCGAACAGCTCCAGTGAAGTGAAGTGTACTTACGCATACGACGTTTCGGGGCTTCAGACATGGTTGAGAAAGCCTGATGGTATTTTATACTCGGATTGAGAAGCCTCGCCTTGCGCACTTGAGATAAGTGTCTAATTGCGGTTGTAGAAGTCGTCCAGGTTGACAGTCTCATGGGTGTGACAAAGGAATTGAATCTCTATAGCCAGTATGATAGGATACCTTTCACTTGACATATATCTCATGAAAGAGCCCCAGAAGCAGCCCTGCAATACGCGGGGCAGCGGATGAACTTTGCGGGGTAGGATCGCCCCTTGGCGCTGCACAGTGCCTCCAGATGCCGAGCTAATCCCCTATAACCCGGGGCTTATCGGAATGTATAGGGGGGAGGGATTCGCCTGCCTCCAGCCACATCTACCACAGGAATTACTCAACAAAGGTCTATAGAGGTATCCTAAAGAGACGGTAGCGACTCAGGTTCCAAGCGTTCAAGATTCGGCAACTTTTCTTCATATCTACAGCACCTTAGATACCTTGGGGTTTTCCAACCAAACTGTACTGCCTTCAGCGTTCAGCATGCGGACCTGATAAAGGGCATCAATGAAATTGGCCATGAATGTCCCCGGTCCTCGAACATCCTCAAGAGCAGCTGCCCGCTCCGCCGCGATCTCAAACAGCAATAGACCGGCAATCGCAGCAGCCAGCTTGTCCTGAGGATGCACGGTGATCATGGTGGAGATCGTCGTTCCCAGCACACATCCGGTGCCGGTGATCTTACCGAGATACTCGTGCCCGTTTTCGACGATAAATGTCCTCTCTCCGTCGCTCACAAAGTCTGTCACTCCGGTCATGACCACCACATTCTTCTCTCTTGCTGCCAGCTTCTTGACCAATTCGGCTTTCTGGGTGTGGCTCAGGGTACTACTGCTGTCCACGCCGCGCTGTTGTTCGATCTCGCCTTCGCCCCAGACTGTCTTGATTTCTCCTTCATTTCCTTTGATGACATCCAGATAGCCGGCAGCCAGGATTGTCTTGACAGCTGCTCTTCGTACTGCAGTTGCGCCAGCTCTGCAATTCTTATTAGTGACCGTCGATCGAATAAATATATCTGTTTCAGCACTTACCCAACAGGATCGTAGACAACAGGTTGGCCGGCCGAGTTGTATGCTTTCAAAGCTTTCACGTAATTCTCAAGTCCATCAGGGGTAACGGTGCCCATATTGATGACCAAGGCACCACCAAGACTGGCAAGGTCTGCTGCCTCCTCGCCGTAGTTGGCCATAATCGGAGAACCGCCAACAGCTAAGGCAACATTTGCTGCAAAGTTTTGAACCACCTATCCTGTATCAGCGCCGCGGCCCCGATCAGACAGCATGTACAATATACTTACGAGGTTCGTCATGTTGTGAGAGAGCGGAGTGTTGTCATGGACGGCCTTAACGATCTTCGGCACAACCTCGATGATGTCCCCAACCTCCGTGGGCTTTTGCTGGCTTTGTCGGACCTGTAGCCTGAACGGCGGCGGGCTCCTGATCAAGCCGAGCAGCTTTCTTGACTCACTCTCCGGATCAGGGGCGGCCATGATAGCACTCACAATGGCCACGCCGTCCAGGTGCTTCTTTGGAGATGCAGATTGGAACATGACCCGCTGGATTGTGGAGGCATTAATCCCGCCAATGCACACAGTTGGGATCTCTCCAAAGCCCCTATCGTACAACGACTCCAGGATGTGCTGTAGTCCTGCTGTGCCAATGACATGCTTTGTATCCTTCTTCCTGCAGCGGAAAGTCAGTCTTATGAATTGCGAATTGTAGTTGGTCTCTCACGTCTGAGTTGAGAAGACAGTCCCAATCCCAAGGTAATCGGCACTTTCTTTGCATGCCCTTACTGCCTCCTCCACTGTGCTCGCTGTGGCGCCAATGATTGCGTCTGGCCCCAGCAGTCTCCTCGCTTCGGCAATATCTATATGAAGGTGAGCATCGTGTCAAGGGGGAAGCGTACATTAGACTCACTCATGTCATCCTGGCCGAGATGCACACCCTCGCAGCCCACTGCGAGAGCGACATCGACTCTATCATTGATCAACAAAGGTACGTTGAACGCTTCTGTGATTTTGTGTAGCTTCCGAGCCGTTGCTATCAGCACGCCGGTGTCGCTGGTCTTGTCTCTGTACTGAACGATCCCAACGCCACCCTGCAACGCCTCTCCGACAACATCGCAGATGTCCTTATCCCCCAAAATGGCCGGAGTTGAGTCCGTCACCAGATATAGGGAGTAGTTCACGTCCGTTTTCTTCATCTTTACACCGGTCGCACCGTAGCTATTGTGCTCACAAATTAGTTCGTAGAGACAGGATTTAGTGAGGCTTTTGGCGAAGTTTCCTGATGATTAGTCATGCGCCGAGAGTTTGTGTAAGGCTTGAGTCTCCTTGACTTCCACAACTCCGCGATCTTGTGTCTAATTAGGATGTAATAATATGCAATTCGACTATCACCTGTTCCTGGTCTTCATTCGCGATAGTATATACGAAAATAGGAGAAGATAAATCGATGCTCAAGAATGACGTCACAGTAGTTACAGAAGTCGCAATTTCTCACGAACGACTTTTAAAGCCCGCATCATAAACACAAAATGTAAGTTTTCTCTTCATTGTAAAACTCACATGTAACATCTTCAAAAGACTTCAGATGTTGATGGCCATCAATCTTTATTACATGCCAACGCAATGGTAGTTATTTATACAAAGGTTGAGCAGCTATCCGTTCTTATTGGAATGTATAAGTAATTCAAGATACATATATATTACTACAAGTTTAAGAATGTCCTGTACACCTCCGCCAGGGTAAT